ATTGTTTCTCCAGTCCTTTCTCCATCAAACCCAGCAGGAACAATTCTGTTTTTTTTTTAATATTCACTTTAAGAATCTTTTGAATCGCAATACATACCTGGTCCCAAAATTTTTTAGCCTTTTCACAAGTCCACCAAAGATGATAAAAGGTTTTTTCACCCTGTGAACATTTCCACAAACATTTGTTATACTAGTATACATTTTTAATAACTTATCAGGAGCTAAATACCAGCAGTACATCATTTTATAAAAATTTTCTTTTAACACTAACCATTTGTTGAGGACATGAATGCAGACTGTTGTCCTCAACACAATCCCAGCCCATCACAAAAACAGCCTCTACCCGTCTTTTCTTGTTTGGCTTCCAAAGGAGCAATTTTCCTTTTGGCTGGCACAAGTCATGCCAAACAGTCTGCAGGGTAGTGTTTGGAGATCAGTTTGGCCTGATCTGCCTCATTGGTCTCCTGAAGTCCTGCAGGCACAGCCCCTGGTCCCGCCCACTGATTCTCAAGGCCAGGAGGAGAGCCAGGGATCCCTCTGGGTCAAAAAGTCATTCTTCCCACTTCTCTAGGCAAGCCCCAGGTGGCAGAAGAAATAGGGGGAGAAGTGGCTCATGGTTCTTCCAGGACCAAAAAGACCCTCTTCTCTCTGTCACTCTGGGGACAGCTTTACTGCGGGGGTCCCATTACAGAACCTTGAGCTAGGGCTGCCCATACCACTTATAACTTGGTTCCTGCAGCATCAGGGATGCAGGTTTTTGTACTAGAAATAAAGAATGTTTGGGGTTTTTATAAATGCTTGAAAAGAGTATATGACCAGCTATTATTAAACTATGTCTGAACTTGGTAGCTAGTAACAATTCTTTCTAGCTAGCAGAAATATAATAAAAATTACCAAGTTTATGTATTTCTTTTCCACTAAGCCACTTGCCCTTTTTTATACAAGAAAAAAAAAAGGTGTATTAAAAGGGGCTCCTACAACTGAAGTTACTATTAGTTTAGAACAGTGTTTTTCAAACTTGGCAATTTTAAGATGTGTGGACTTCAACTCTCAGAATTCCCCAGCAGCATGCCAGCAAGCTGTTTTTATTTTGGATATGGAAAGTACTTTTGTTTTTAAAACATATAATAATGTCTACAAATAGACACCCTTGGCGATTTCTTATGTCTGATTTGAGTTCCTTTTAAAGTGAAACTTGACTTAATTGCTGATTTCATGTCAAATCATGACATTCTCTTAGAGGAGAATTTCGGTAAACCTTTCTTAGTTTCTTCTGGTGCTGCTGTAATGGGAAAAATATTTTATATTACAACTTTCTAAGACATTAGTATGTTTTATTATGCATATATTTTTATTTTTCTGAGATAAGCCACTTTGGTAACTTGTATACTAAAGTACAGTACAGTGCAAATAAGTTGAAATAAATAATTAGGCACAATATCACAATTGACAAATCATGGTTTGTTTTTATGTGGCAAATCAGTATTGGAAATTATGGTTTGGAGTTTGTAAAGTAAAATCTGTAATAATTCTGATTTGAAATGATGGTTAAAGTAATAATTATAGCTGTTGTTCCATTTCTGGAAGACACTGCAGAATTAAGCAATTCAGAAGCCTTATATTGTATTAATATCAATTAGTTTTATTTCCCAAGGATTTGGAAACAATGCACCTTCTGAAAGATGTGGATAAAAACTACCTGAAAAAGGACAAAAAGGGCTGAGGCTTCTTAAGAGACAATAGTGTTTCTTGTATGTATTTTCTGGGAAAAATCAGTGCCTAATTCTGTGAAAGTATTCATTTGTTTACTTGTGACTATAAGCTTCAGTATTATTGAAGGACACCGGAAACAAGGATAGATTATTGTTAGCAATCAAGCTTGCATAAAAAGTTCTAACTGCTGGACAGAATTTCTTTAAAAGTAATTAATTTCTGCAAGTTGCAATAGTTAACGGGACCTCAGCATGTTCTAATAACCTATAGAAAATTCTGTTTACTGATTTTGGAAACACGAACTTTTAACTGAATGGTCTTCAAAGCAGCTTGCAAAAGGCAACTCACCCCCCATCCCAAACAACAACAAAATCCAAATCCCCTTACCAAAAAACAAATTCCCCCCCCCCCCACTTTTTCAGCCCCAGAACAATTTGCATGAGGCTTTCAAACTTTAGAAAAGGCTTGAAAGAAACAGCTCTCTTGTAGGCTACAAGGGTCTTTATGGTGTCTTCTGACACTTACCCTATGTCTTATAGACAAATTATATTTGAAGAGGGCCACAGCCAATTCCTTTCACTCCAGAGTGCAAGTTATTGTAACTGGCAAGCTCAGGGGCACGTTCCAGTCCCTGAGAGTTTGGGTTCTTGGTCACATCCAGAGTCAGGTTATCCCAGTCCCTCTGCCTGTAGGACACAGCTAAATATTGGTCTTTTTGAACCAAGGGACAGAGCCCAGCAAACTGATGGAGAGAGGCTGTTAAAGAGCAGGGTGTTCCATTTCCTCAGTAGCCTTCAAGTAATGTACAGTATTGGAATGGAAGCAGAGGAACATTTGCTTCAGGGGTTTTCTATTTTTGTAGAAATAAGTAAAGTGTACAGCTAGAAATTTATGCTAGATTTAAAAAACATATTTCTGTTAGCTGTGTGGTGCCAAGTCTCAGGTTTTTTATGTTGGTTGAAGCATCGGTGGCATCATATTGAATGAATTGAATTGAATTGAATGTTTCTGTACCAGGGACCGAATAGAGTGTTTAATCTCGCCTCTCAGATCTCAGGCTATGCTCATTTTGGGGAATTTCTTGTGATCTGTAATGGTGGTTTGATACCCCTCCAGTATTTTCTTGGAGATCCTGGTAAACAGTGCTGCATTTATGGCAGACTACAGCCACCTTATGTTGGAGTATTGTATTTCAGGAGGATTGTATGTACTTTTGGATTTTTCTTTTTATTTAACTAATCAGTCAATTGCTGTATGGCATGGTCTGGGGAGCTCTGTAATTGTTTCCTTTCAAATTCAATATCTGCATTTTAATATTTAAAGCTGTTTTTAAAAAAGTTATCTTAAAACAAGTTTGATTTTATGCTCTGTAGCATTGGTCTGTTTCCAGGGGAGTGGAAGGAAGGGGTTATTCCTCTAGATGCCCCACATTCATGCTACAGAGCCAGCAGGTAGCACTATAGAAAATAATTCAATGTTTATGTTTTGATTTTTAATAATCAGAAAAGTATCGTAGGGTGTGCGAGCTTTTTCTCTTACATGTACTGGGGTAGGGGGTGGATGCCAGGGGAAGGGCCCCTTGGAAGACAGATGGTAGCAGTGGGAACTAGCAAGCTGCTACCCTGAAGCAGGAGGCAAGAGCAGGGTGTGAATACCCGAAGGTTTCTAGGAAAGGAGGTTTGGGGTCTTCTGACTTTTACCTTGCAGGTCTCAGCAATGTTCATGTAAGAATTTCAAAATGCAGACTAATGGCCTTAAGCTGCAGGGAGATTCTGGCTGAATTAGGACAGACACCCTAACAGTAAGAGTAATTTCATAGGGGACTAATTTGTAATTAGGGTTTGAATAGGGGGAAGAGTATGTTTTGCCAGGTGTTTTCAGACAGAGAATTAACAGTGATATAATATGAATGCTTTTATTTGGGTTCCTGGAATGAACTTTTTCCCTGCCTGACTAATTTCCAACAAAGAGGACAAAGCAGAAAAAAAAATTAAGGACTATACAGTAGAGGAAAGAGCCATTTTGTTAAGGAGATGAGCCTCTTAAAAACAGAAGTCTTTTATTTGTTTGTTTATTTGTCAAATTTATATGGCTGTCCCTTTGCACTTTGAAAAGCCCCACAGACATGGATAGGTCTGATCTGGATCTATAGACAGGCTGAAATGCCTGCCAAAGAGCAGTGCATTAATTTGCAGACAGCTGATCTGATTGCTTCAAATTGCATAATTTTTTAATCACACTTATTGTAGAAGATTTGGTAAACATGTTGGCCAAGAAGTTAAACCAGAAGTTCTGTTCTCAGGAGGACAGCAACCATGAGAACGTCCTGATTTCTTCTAATGACTCACCTCTAGAATAATACACTTGTCTTTAAATGCTCTAAAAGACCATAGGAAGCAAACTGTATTTTCATTCCTGTGAGGAAGAAGATTAATTCATAATCAGAGCTCTTTATCCGTTTTTGGGCTTGAAATACATGGTATTAATACCAAATTATTCTCTTGCTGAAAAGTGAGACACAGTATTTCCTTTTCCTTCCCATTTGCTACAACTGGAAATTCAGTTAAGACAATATGCCATATTAAACTACTTGATTTTCATTCTAATATTTAATTGTACTCACCAATAAAAATATATAGTAAATACTACAGGAGAATTACTCCAACCTATGAACAAGAAACATTTTTTCTGGATCAGAACTATCTGGGTTTATTATGTATATATATATAGTATACTATCTTATGTTTTATGCTTGTGTTATAAATATTTGATTTTTGCTTGGGTTTTATGAACACAGAAAGCAGAGAATTACTGACATTTTGTGCAAAACAAGCTAACAAGCAATCCTTACATTTTGTTACAGAATGTCCAGCCTTCCCAAAATGACCCAAAATAAAGCATTCCTTTCTTTGCTTTGGATCTTGACAATGCTTTGCAATTTCTGCTTAACTGGTAAGTGGAACCTTTTGCCCAGTTCTTGCCACTGGGTTGCAATGCTAAACAAATTTGGATAAAACAATTACATTTGGTGAACTTGCTTTTAAGAACTGTTAGTAGCAGGCAGTATAAAAGTCGGTGGTTTATCTTTCTAGCAGTGAGTGAGGCTAATAATACAGGTGGTTATTAATAACGATAGTAGTCCTCACTTACCGACTGCCTCGGGCAGCGACCGTTTGAAGTTACAATGTTGCTGAAAAAATAACTTTGTGACCAAGGCCCACATTTACGACTCAAAGAGTAGAGAGATTGCTTAACAAGCGATGGCTTCTTGAGTTGCTTTCTCCAATCTCTTCCTGAGCTGCTTTTCTGTGCAGTGCAGTACTTCCCCAAAAGGTGCAAGCTGCAAGTTAACAAGCTCAGCTGTGACTTTAATTAGCCACAGCTGTGCCAGTAACTGACAAGACGCATCAGTTTCACACCTTCAGCGTTTGTGTGCCTCCTGTATGGTTTGGGGCTGGTGGGGAGGGGAGCGCTAGCAGATTCCTTTCAATGTGTATTCTCCATTGTGTGCCTGCTTTGTGTCTTGTAATCCCTTCCTCTCCAATGAATGTATATGCAAACATTAATTCCCTTCTTGCTAATTAACCCGGTGCCCAAGTCAGCATTCCAAAGGGCAGGGGAGGGGGGAAAAGGAGCACAGTTGCAGTCATGTGATTTTCCACTTAGCAACTGTGTCACTTAGCAACCAAGTTGCCAGTCCCACTTGTGGTTGCTAAACGAGGACTACTGTACTTGTAAACAGTTTAAATCTTTGCAATTTTACTTAATTGAATTCTTGGTAAAGACTAAGAATATTTTTGCTATTTGGAACTTCTTTCCTGAAGCTAACTGGGGCAGAAGGAAGATTTTCTTTGGCACAATGAAAAATGTTTTTTGTGTACAATATGTGTGGATCCTTTGTATGGCCTTTATCCTCGTTAATGGAACATAGCTAAGTCTTGATAGCTGTTGGTTGGCTTGGAAAATATTATTTCCTAGTAAAAATAATGGGGTTATAGTAGGAGTTATAATATAAAAGGTAGTCATATTTATTAAATACAACCCTCTCTTTACAAATGAAAGGAGCCAATGTGATGTGATGGTTAAAGACTAGGACTGGGGAGTCTCCCCTCAATCATGGAAATTTACTGAATGACTCTGGGCCAGTCCTCCTCTCGCCCAACATACCTCACAGGCTGTTGTTTGAAGATAAAATGAAGGAAGCTCCACATGGAAATACTTGAGCGTTTAGCATTTAGAGGGCTATTAATCTAATAAATTAAATTAAATTTATAAATGCCTGATAACAACTGTTCTTTTGTTTCACTTGATTACAGCCTTGCCACAGAAACCTGAAAACATTTCTTGCATTTATGATTACAATGGTACTCTTAGTTGCAGCTGGACCTCTGGAAAAGAAACATCCAGTGATACAACATACATTATCAACACTTCTTGGTAAGTGGCAATTGGATAGTGATCAAGAAGTAGAACCAACTGACTACCATCACCTACATGGTATAGGGACTACTTATTTGAGAGGCTGTCTCTCCTTCATTGCTGCTGCCTGTCCTGTAAGATCAGACGAAATTGGCATGCTCCAGATCCCATCCATTAAACAATGTCATCTGGTGAGACTCAGGAAGCACGTCCTCTGTCAGAGAGGCTGCCTTTTGGAACCCATCTTCCCAGAGATTTGAAGATCCCCAACCCTGCTCTCCTTTAAATGTGCCTTGAAGACCTGGCTCTTTCCCCAGGCTTTGGACTGGGGTGGGACATGGGGTCCCTCTGTAAGGGTTTTACAGGTTTTAGCAGATGTTTGTTCCACTGGGGTGACCATTTTCCTTTTCTGTTCTGTTTAATATCCTTGTTTTTAATTCTGGACACCACTCAGAATCATTGATGCGTTAGAAATGTGAATTATTTATAAATAACAAATAAATAACTGACTGATTTGGTTTGCTTATGGTATACATTTTATTATTTTCTACCATTTGTCATGCAGTCCTAGCAGAGTATAACTTTAAAATGTCTGGTGCATAATTTACCACGCAATAAAACTTATAGAACTTTAAGCATGGTAATATATTAAAACTGATTACTAGTGAGATGGTTGGTATCATGAATCTCTTGGATCCCCTCATCAATACTACTATAATATTTGACATCATGTCAACAGTTGAGAGAATAGTAATGGTTTCAGCATGCACCAAACACATGTTGCTGTGTTCTTTAGCTCTACTGGGAGACATATTGTACACAACAAATACCAGAACAAAAAAAGTCTGCTTTCTGGCTCATGCTATGTGAATATTTAGAGGATGTGTTATATGCAGAAAGATCAAAATTGCACTGATCTGTCTAGGAAGAACTGTAGCTGACATGCCAAAATGGGGAAAGGTGCTTCTTGCCTCATAGAGACTTGACCAATAGTGACAGTGAATGTTCTGTAACCACTCCCAGGTCACTGTTCTGTCCTTTCAGAGGGAAGTGCAACCTTACCCAGCCCCATTCACCTGTAGGACCTCTGTCTGACCTGGATTCAAATTTATTAGCTCCTATCCAGTCCACCACTGCATCTAGACATTGCTCCATGTTTTGCACAGCCTGTTACTGTATGTACTGGATGTTTTGCACATCCAGTTGCCCATACTCTTTACAAAAATAGAGGTATCAGTCATCACACTGATGATTCTGTACTCGCTATCATGTGATGATTTCTTCCAGCAGCTTTATATTGTATTTATCTGCTTACTTTATAAATAAATATAGATATGAAGTTGTACTGGAGACCTAGTGCCTTGTGGTCCCCCCCAATAACACCTTAATTTTCAGAGACAGTCTAATAATATTACAGACAATGGAAGTGAAGAAGAGCAGGAGCCCCAGAATAAATAGCAGATTGCACTCCCCCGCCCCCATCCCTTTCCTTATATAGGTCACCTATCAGAGTAACCGAGGCTACTTTGGCCCTTAAGCCTGAACCCAGACTGGATTGGTCCAAAAAAGCCAGTTTCCTCCAAGAGTGTCTTAACTCCAACTCTTATATTTTCCCCCCAGATGAGTTTGGGCAACTGGATGATAATTATTCCATGCCATTAGGTTCAAAGTCTGTTTCTCCCAAAGGAGTTGTAGCTCACTTCATCAGCTGCATAGAGTGGCTCATCCCAGTATAAATCCTACATCAGTCTAACTTCTCTGTGCAGCTGATGAAGTGAGCTGCACCTCACAAAAGCTTATGCTTTTTAATAGAAATTGTTAGTCAGAAAAGGTGCAGCCAGACTCCTCCTGATTGTCTGGAAAAGGGAATGGGACTGTTTTTTTCCATATTGTTTCTTGGATCAATATCATCTATTCACCTCTGCCTGATTCCTCACTCTTGTTCTTTAACAAAATGTTGGTATTTCTTGTCTAATCTTCATAGAAATTGTGTGGGGACTACCAGTTAATAAAAAGGAAAAAAAATCCTGTGTGCATGTCATATTGTCCCTGGAGGATTCCTTTTGGAAGAAGAGTTAAAACCCTCTTGTTGTGAGATGCATTACTTACATGTAATAGAGTTTTGTTTCTGTTAGAGAAATCTCAGGTGGCAGGAACCTTCCACTCTCCCATGGAACTATTGGCTGAGTCCTACTTATCTCTAAGGAGTGAAGGTGCCAGAGGATACAAACTCCAGTGGTGGCCAGACAAAATGCCTACTTGAGAAATAGAACTTGTGCGTAATGCTGTACTCAGGAAGTCCCTCCTCATGAGTTAAACATATCTGATAATGGGAAGATGAGTCTTAAAGTCTTCAATTCCTGTTTGCTGGCTCAGCGTCCTCACTAGTTGTCCATGCTGGTCTTGCCTCCTTTTCTCCCTGATATGCTGTTGGATTCATTGTGTTTGACTTTGTTGAGAGCTTGCTTTTCATAACCAACTGCAGATCTGTCTTAGGCAAGATAACATGATCCTGATTAGTTATAATATCTACTTTGGCCTCAGCAGATTTGGGGGGGTATTACTTTTTATGGGAGAAAAGCATGTGCTTTACTTATTTTAAACCCATGGGGTTTTGTCATATCAGTGATGAAGGGGAAAATTTGCCTATTTTTTTTCTTAAATTGTGTCAAGTCTAATAAGTTCTATGATGGGTTCAGGGTAAAATTCTTAACCACTTTTTTTTTAATTAAGAATTTTTTTAAACAATCATCTACTTTTGATTTTTTTTCAATAAAAGGTATAAAAGTAAGGATTATACCTGTGAAATGAAAAATGGTTTATGTTCAGTGTACAACGTTCCAGATGGTTCTTATCGTATACAAGTCACAGCAAAAAATAATTTTGGAGAAGTAGCATCCCACCAGACTCTCCTACATTTGCGAGAGATATGTAAGTCAACTGTTTGCTTAATAGTAGATTTTGTATTTGTTTGTGTAAAAGATTTGTATGGCCACCCATCTTAAACACAGCTGTGGGTGGCTCACGACAATAAAACCAATAACTATAAAATCACAAATCATAAACCATAAAACCAAGAACCAAAACCCAGCACCTCAGTCATCTCCTTAGGATGCCCCAGAATCAGCTCCAGATATCCTCATTCGATCCCAGCGCCTGGGTAAAAAGCCAGGTCTTGATGGCCTTCTGAAAGGCTAAAAGGGTGGGGGTCTGCTGAATCACCCAGGGGAGGGTGTTCCATAAGGTAGGGGCAACCACAGAAAAGGCTTGCTTCCGAGGTCCCACTAGATGGCAAGGTTTCAGGGAAGGGACCTGGAGTGTGCCTACCCTATCCAATCTGGTAGGATAGACAGATACTCTCAGGGAGAGGTAGTCCTGCAAATAACCAGGTCCCATGCCATGTAGGGCTTTAAAGGTGATAGCCAGCACCTGGAAGGAAACTGGGAGCCAGTGCAGCTTGCACAACAGAGGTGTAATGTGGGCAAACCTATACTGCGCATGCAGATCTTTTTATTAACCCAATGAAAATGATCTCAGACCATTTATCTATCATATATTTAGGGTCCCCAAAATATATAAGTGTGTGCTCTGGATGAGAGTACTGATGTAATGGTACCTCTTAACTCTGAACATAAATTAGCTTACTATAATTCAAGTTGCTATGCCTCAGTTAGGTTCATAATTTAGTGACAGCGTACAGATGTGATGTTCAAAATATTTCAGATTTATTTCTTGCTATGTCCTCTTAGAAGGATTTGATAGCAAATGAACAGCAAGAGCTTCTTTTGTTGTCATTGTGAAATGAAGTGGTTGATGCAACAGCATCCACAAAAGGAGTTTGTGATGCGAGTCCTGCCTCTTCTGTATAGGCATCATCTGCGCGTTCAAATGGGACAGGGTTTGCATTGCAATACTCCGTCCATAATCTTGCCAATTTTTATTCCATCCCTTTCTGTAGATGCTGCTGGGATGATGCATGACAATCTATTCCTAGATATCTGTGCACCCAGTTGGTTTCTAAAATTCTGAGTGGGATCTAACTATGGATTTGAATGGGTTTTCTCTATGAATATCTGGAATAAGATTTGTCAAACATACTGGGCAGAACTACAGATAAAGTTATTGCAATTTTTAGTTGATGCAGCTTTGTACTAGGTGAATTTGGGCACTTTGTGTGGTTCTTAGGAATGATTGCTACAGACCTTGGGTTGCTTGGCACAGTCATTGACTCCTTTTTGTCCTAAATGCATGTTTTCTGTCACTGAAAATAGTTAACATTGTATGCTAACCTCTGAAAGCTTACCAACTCATATCTTAATTCTAGTGAAACCTGGTCCTCCTTCCATAATGAAAGTAGAAGGGATGAAGGGAATGCTAAAGGTTTGCTGGGAAAGACATAACGATGACAAAAGTTTTGATCCTGTTACGTGCCAGATTCAATACCAAGCCACAACAAAAAATATTTCAGTAAGCCAAATTTTAATTGATATAAGTTCTAACAAATCAGTTAAAAATGGAGTAAGAAGTTGTTCATGACACGCTTATAATAACTGCAAGCCGTCCCTTAGATGATGGCATTGAAAATGAGGCTCCCAAGTGCCCTAATTTCATTTCAAAGTGAGAGTGAAGGTAGTGGTGTCCTGAACAAGTCAAATGAGATAATGTATGTACTTGCATCATTTTGCATCATAATATTTGGCACAAGTGTATCATGATGAATGTGTAAGCATTTCTTTCTTTGCCCCCTTCTGATGCCTTTGAATGAAGGTCAACTCTACTCAAATATTAGAAGAGGAGACATTCATGGTTTAACATTTGTGATTACCCTGATGTAACAATATGCTTATGGTAGTAAGATGGAAACTATAATATCATAGAATGTAAAGGTTGGAACCGACCTTGGAAATTATTTAGTCCATCTGTCTGCCCAGTGCAGGTATCCACTATTACAGCATCCCCAAAAGATGGCCATCCAGCCTTTATTCAAACACCTTTAGGAAATTTTTCCTGATATCCAACTGAAATCTACTTTCTTGTAATTTAGATCCATTTTTTCTTATCCTGCCTCCTGGAATAACTCTGAATAATTCTCCTATGTCTTCTTCATCATAGTGCTTGAGATACTTGAAGACAGCTGTCGTGTCTGCCTGCAGTCTTCTCTTCCCCAAGCTAAATATGCCCATTGCTTCCAACTGATGCTCATCATGGTTGCTCTCCTCTGGTCATGTTACTGTTTGTCAGTGTCCTTCCTAAAATGTGATGCCTAGAATTGGACCTAGTATTTGGAGTGTGGACTGATTAGCGCAGAATAGAGAGAAATAGTAACTTCTCTTTGTCTTTATACTATTCTTCCTGTTTATGTAGCCTAGGATTGCATTTGGGTTATTTTACAGCTGAATTTGCAAAACACTGCCTCATGTACAGCTTGTGATCTTCCAAGGCATCCAGGTATTTTTTCTGAATACTGATGCCCAGTATGTTCCCTCCCATTCCTATACTAAATCCTTTAATTTTCCTATCCAGATGTAGGACTTGTCCCTGCTGAAATTTACCTTGCTGGCTTTTGCCCCATATTCTGGCTTGTAAAGATTCTCCTAAATCTTGATACTGTCCTCTGTTTGTTCTTCACCTTACCACTGTGTCATCTGCAGATTTGATCATAGTATTTTCTAAACCATTACCCAAATCATTTATACATATGTGAACTATTACAGGATCTAGAGCGGAGCCCTGCAGTTCCTTTCACTTTGATGCACATCCTGCACACTTGTTGGGCGTGATTGATCAACCAGCTCTGTATCCATTTAATGGTAGCATAATCCAGCTGACATCTTGTCATCTACTTTACTAAATCTTATGGGAACTTCACAGAATGCTTTGCTAAAATCAAGGTGCACAATGTCTACTGCATTTCCATTATCAGTTAAAGGGATCATTCTGTCATAAAATAGAAACCAAGTTGATTTGGCACGAATAATAATAATAATAATAATAATAATAATAATACCACCACCACCACCACCACCATCAAATCATCAAACAACAACATCTGCCTATCTGGATGCA